AAATTACAATAAACCGTCATACAAGATCAATAATAATTTACAAATTTACACAGTAAAAATTAATTCATAGCTGTTTGAAAAAACTTCTCAGATCTTTATTTGTGCATTCATTGTCATCTTCGTCAAACTCAAAACCCTCAAAAGTCCAAGTCGGCGTCACTGTAGCCGTCGAACAAAATCCCTACAACTTATTTTTGAAGTTCGTCGATATCGTCCCACACAATTTGGACTTAGCACTTTTAATCCACGGATTTCGCAGTCTGTCAGCTTGGCACTTTTCATTCATGTCCAATCATAATAAAGAGACAAGAAAAATGGGGTCGCTCTGCTGCGATGGCACGCGATGCTTTTGTTTACAGTCTAGCAATCATCTTTGACCTTTATGCATCTGCTTTACTGATTGGCTAAGAATGACATCACTACCAGTATTTCATCATAAAGGTCAAATCGTGACATTGCTTTCTTATCAGACTCGACGCTTATTAATCACGGTGAAAGTTATCATTCAGCAAGTTCCGACGGTTTTAATGTCTCACTATATGGATATCGCGGTGGACTTGAAATAGGAAGTTTTTTTTATCCAACGACAGAAGAATAGTTTTCATGACAGAAATGCAATAGTGGTGATAAAAGATGGTAAAAAAGTTGGCAGTCTTCGGCGTGACATTGCAAAATTGCTGGCCCCAGTTATGGATTCGCAAGCTGCTACAAAATATTTGTGGGGGGGTGGGCGTTTGTCCAGGCATGGGCTCTTACCCGGATAAGTACGGTATATCATTGATATCGTGCTGTAAGTCTCCAGATTGCCAGCGGGCTTTCCGTTAGTAAATAAATCCTGAGTTAATACAAGTCGTTTGACTGTGGTGATTGGTGCTGGTTGTGTAACAGATAATTGTGCATACTAATTTTCGTTATACTCCATAATCGCAACGTATCATCCCCCCACAACATGATATCCATATGTTCACATATTGTGTCATTTTGTTTGTATATGTGGCGATGGAAAACTAAAATATACCGCTAGTAATGGTCATCTGTTCTAGTGTTAATCACGGAAAGCTAAGTTACACAGGGTTTCGGCAAAATTACACATATTTTTTTGACGCATTTTACACAATATAATGTCTGGCAAATGAATGTTACTTCTTAACTCACTCAAACAATATTCTCCATAAACAGGTACATCGCCGATGCGTATAAGTAAAGCTTTGGGCCAATCAATGTTGCGGTGATTGATTCACTCTCGTCCATAGCTTTGTGTCACACGCAACGTAATATATATTACCGTAATTGGTATAGTACAGGTGTGATGGTTCAAATACCAAAATGGCAACAGTAACATAAAGACTTCCCTGGCGGCGATGATAACATACGAACACGGAGCCAACAGATGAGGTTTCAACTGGTACTGGTATTATTATACTCTGCAAACATCAAGTACAATAACGCAGTAAAACTCCAAACCTCCAATATAACTAGATACTTAAACTCCAACACAATTCAACGAGATCTCCGATCTGAACTCAGTACTGAACAACTCCCCTATATATACCTCCACTGTCTATAAATAGACCATTACATCAGCATACATAATGAGTCTGGCACTTACTACAAATTTCTAGAATACTCCATTAATTTCTATTGCCTCCTACAGTGTTCTATTACCTATTCAACCAGTTTCTAAAAAAAATCTAGAATATTCCACCCAGACACAGTACGGTTCTAGAACATTCTCAGTGACACGGAAGTGGTAAATAACTTGTATGCGACACTTTGACACTGAATTGCACAGTTTATTTATTATGAATATATGCGAACAAAGCTAAAGTACCATTGTACGAAGCCTTATCTACTATTATATTTGTTGTTAGTGACATTCACAGTCCTTGCTATTTTAATACATTTCATGTATATCTTTATAGCAGTGTATAAGTGAGTATGTTTGCCCTGGGCAGTTCCATTTTGTTCAGAGCAGTCTCCGGGCAGTAATTAGGGACCGACCATTTTTTTTGGCCAAGGCTGGGCCGGTAATTTGTTGTAAATGTAGAAACAAAATCAATACCCCCCTAGCCACAATGGAAATTATGGTAACACCCCCCGACAAAGACTAAAAGTAATGTGACACCCCCCCCCCCCATTTTCAGTTCTTTTTAAAACATTTTTATAGTTAATTATTTAGTTTAGTTAGTTGGTGTAGATTGTCTACTATAGTCAATGAGTGAAAAATAAATGTTTCTACAAATCAGCGAAACAGTGCATGTCTCTAAGTCCCTGCTTGTCTCCCAGATCTTGTTGTCACTGTATACTGCATTGCACTGTGATCCTCCTCTTCACTGCTACTGCTGGTGCCTATTTCTGCTACTATTCTGATTCTAACTTGGTTGAATCACTTTCATTTGTATTGTGCTGTTTTCACCGTTAATGCTTTGGCATTAATTGTTGCAATATTGTTAATATTCCATTTCTCAAGTTTTTATATTATTTGCTGTCATTAATTATAATTAAAATACTGATATTTGCTAGTGTAATAATTTCGAAATGCTATAGAAATACAATGCAGATAATACCATCCTGGAAAGAAAGTAACAGTTTATACTTTATAAGTAAGGCATGTTGTAACTTATAATTTGCAATATTTTATGAATAAGGTGACCCCCCCTCCTCAAATGCTGTCTGGAACAGACTGACCCTCCTCTTGATAATTCAGAAATAACGAGCACCCCCCCCGAATTGGCCGGCCCAGCCCCGGCTATAATAACTGATCCGTCCCTTAGTAGGACCCTTTTTGACTCCCGTGTGCGAAGCAGTTAGTGTGTCTGTCTGTGTGTGTGTGTGTGTGTCTATTCCACTGATATCTCAAAAATCATACATTGATTTTTAATGAAACTTGGTGCATAGATGCTCTGGGCCAATGCGCAGATTTGATTAGGTTTTGGTAAAAATCCATGCATATTAATTACCTAATTTGCATGATAATTAGCTGATTTTTAGCTGTTCCATGACTGTTCTACTGATATCTAAAGAATAACTCATTGGATTTTGATGAAACTTGACACATAGATGCTCCAGACTAATGCGCAGATTTGATTAGTTTTGGGTAAAAATCTGTGCAATATTATTCACCTAATTTGCATAATGATTAATCAATTTTTGGCTTTTCCACTGATATCTCGAGTACTAATCACCACATTTCAATAAAACTTGGTACATAGATGTCATAGGACACTGCACAAACCTGATAATTTTTAGGGTAATATCAGTACATATTAATTACCTAATTTTCATAATTAATTAAATTTCGGCTTTTGATATTTCAAGTAGTAATCATCACATTTCAATGAAACTTGGTACATAGATGTCACAGGACACTGCACAAACTTGATAGTTTTTAGGGTAATACGAGTACATATTAATTACCTAATTTGCATAATTAATTAATTTTCAGCTTTTGATATTTCAAGTAGTAATCATCACATTTCAATAAAACTTGGTACATAGATGTCATAGGACACTGCACAAACCTGATAGTTTTTAGGGTAATATCAGTACATATTAATTACCTAATTTTCATAATTATTTAAATTTCAGCTTTTGATATTTCAAGTAGTAATCATCACATTTCAATGAAACTTGGTACATAGATGTCACAGGACACTGCACAGACCTGATAGTTTTTAGGGTAATATGAGTACATATTAATTACCTAATTTGCATAATTAATTAATTTTCAGCTTTTGATATTTCAAGTAGTAATCATCACATTTCATTGAAACTTGGTACATAGATATCATAGGACACTGCACAGACCTGATAGTTTTTAGGGTAATATCAGTAGATATTAATTACCTAATTTGCATAATTAATTAATTTTCAGCTTTTTGCCTGATATCTCAAGTACTAATCATATCATATTTCAATGAGACTTGCTACATAGATCTTCTAGGACTATGCAGAGACCTGATTAGTTTTAATTGGATATAAGTTATCTAATTTGTATAATGTTCCACTGATATATAAATAACCACGAATTGGATTTTAATGAAACTTTTAAAGAGAACTATGCAGAGACCCAATTAGTTTTTGGTCAATATTTATGCTTATTAATCACCTAATTAACACTGATATCTCAATTACTGATCATCACATTTGAATAAAATTTGGTACATAAATGCTCTAGAACTTAGACAGGCCTGATTAATTTTGGGTTAAAATTTGTTCATATTATTTCTCTAATTAGCATAATAATTCATAATTTTTTGTTCTGTTCTGTTCATAATAGTTATCTGATTTACATAATTAGTTTTCAGCTTTTCCATCAATATCTCATGTACAAGTAATTTTTAATTAATTTGTAATGTGTCTTCAATACTCTCAGCACACGGGAGTTCTTTCTAAGCTTTCTTTGATTTACCACAGTCAGCTGGTGTGGTTTTTACCTCCGTACGAACGCGCTAAAAATCTTACATATCTGAAAAGATATTGTAATACAAATGAATGATTCGAGAAGAACACATCATACACTTTCAAAGAGAATCAAAATTTAAAATAGGTGAATTTCATCTGAGGTGGAAGCTGCGATGACCGATAAATATAATAGCAATCGCAGAATCAAGGCGTCTGCTCTAACGTCATGTTCCCCACTTCCGGTTCCCTGTGGTTTCGCGCTTACAATCAATCCTTCAATCCCGACAAGATATGTAACACAAATGCTGATTGGTTAAAATAGCAAAAAAAATATTCCACTGCCCAATCAAACTCTTTCATACATTGGCGGCATTGAAATTAAAGTCTCACCTATCGCGAGATTAGGCTGAACGACGATCTCTACATTGGTCGAGACGCCATGCGTGTTTGGTGACAGTAGTTGTTCCTCATTTTCTGAAACTCTTTTTAATTTTCTAGTGGTCGCACTGAAGCGAATCTGTTATCACACTGGTAAGTACATTTTTAAATATGTTATATTTACGCATGATTAGGAACCTGCCTTTTTATCAAACAAGTCGCATTTTGTACGATCCAAACTCCATTTTTCTGGAGGACAACAAAAAAATGGCCGACTGTTTTCAATTTCTTTGTAACACGTCCATAAATTTAAATACACAATGCATGCACTTATTTCTTTCTTAATCCTTATATCATTCTTAATTTTACTTGATTTTTCCGTATCACATTATGTAGAATCGCAACCTTTTTTCTCCACATACACCAATACTTACTAACTGCAGTGGTGAAATGCGTCGGGCGATTCAAATCCGAGCAAGAACTGCGAATTTGCAGACGTTGGTCAGTGATTGAAACAATATGAATGGAATAAAAAAAATGAATCAAAATAATCTTAACATGGTGAAATAGTGTCCCGGATGAAATAAGTATTTAGTAGTTGGTCATGGTCAGCTGGTTGTGTACTGTAATGCCAGAGTGTCAACTCTGTATAAATGCATCACGTGTGCATTTTATGGGAACATATAAACAAAATAAAAATTGTATATTAGTGCTGTTGTATACTACCGTGTATTATGTTTGTTGGTTCTAATAATTTACTTGTATCATGCCAGTACACTCATTTCTCAGTGAAAGAAATTAATTCGTTTGTGTTCTATCCTTTCCTGAGAACTGAGCTACATCACTGTCTCCCAAACATTAGCAGAATCAATCAGGAGTAAGATAAAAATTTACTTTTTATCGTACCATTTTTTTATGTAATACCCCCCCCCCCCCCATTCTTGAATGCAGCTACTGGTGCTCATCCTCTGTTCCGGGTGGGCAGAGTCCATTACCAATAATTCCCCAAAGATTAAATTCCAAGAAGGTTGGCCAATTTGCCAATCAATCCTAAACAAAAAATATTTAAAAATAATCAAGCTACTAAGTTTGAATACAAACCTCAAATACACTTGTATGAACTGAATATATATGTAAACACCAAGGTTCAATGCTATCATTAAACTATCATGTTTCAATTCTAGTTGTTCATTTTATCTTCTAAAATTCCTGTCTAAATATTTTCCTGTCTAAACTGCCAGTCGTGGATTATATTTTTGTGAACAATAGACGTAGTCGCACGATGTGGTAGCGGCTTATAACACAATACAAGTCAATTTTGCAAAATTAGCAACTCATTGTTCGCAAGTAAATTCTTTGATGATCGACGCAGTCTTTCGATTGAAAGCGAAAATTCTTTCAAAATCAATTCCACCCCGGTATAACATGGGCCAAGCGGAGTTCATGATCAGTTTACACTACTCAAGAAAAAAACCATGTTTATTGCATGATTGAGTATGCAATCTACATTTGAACTTTAATCGCGAATCATGTAAAAAATTGCTAATCACCTCTTTTAAAAAACCATCATGCAGTTTTCATCTGAAATCCATACCAACACATCATGCTATGACAACACTTTACTTCCGCAATGTACTTTTTATGATCACTACCATTCGGGAAAACTTCGTGTTCTTCCGGCATTACCATGCAGCATTCTGATTGGTTAATGGCATTTTTCAACAATCGGAAGACTTCTTCTGTACTACGCAGCATCTTATTTGGTTAACGAAAATTAGGTCAAAGGAAGTTGTTCAGGTCAAGTCATGATGAAAAACATCATGGCGGAAATTGCTTTGTATCGAGAGTTTGCGTACGATCAAAGACATTCCAAACGAAGATAATTATAAAGATCTTGCCTTCGACTGTTTTCCCACAAACCCAGTGTTCTCCCCAGACTTTATGTCAAGCATCATGGTCAATTTGCATAACAATGCATCTAATTTGCGTAATTTTATTTGCATGATAATCAGTTTTTCCCAACAAATATTGTCAATCTACAATTAATCAGGGTTCTCCACAAGGGGTTTTACAGGGCGCCGCGCCCCGTTATCTGAAATTGGCGCCCTGTTTAAATTGTCAGCGCCCTTGTTATGTTTCCTGTGCGCCCTGCATGGTCCCAGACAAAGAATTGTTTACAAAACAGGCCAACACTCATTGTCTTCCGAAGATTATTCATCGTGCTCAGGGTAACTGGTTCATTGTTTTAAGGTGCAACTGTGAAAATTCCGGTTTGTTATCGTAGCAGGTCACCGTGAGGTGATAACACCACCAAACAAAAAGTTTCAAGTTTTTTCAACAAGATTAAAAATGAACATGTGGCCTAGAAAAGTGCATTATCGTACC